AAAAGAAAAGGCTGTGTGACACACATCCTTTCTCTGAAGAACTGCAAATATAAAAAGAAAACTTGATAAATTCTCAACAATATGTCTTCTTGGATGTATATATATTGTATAGTTGTCATTGATTCTATCTTTCCTACTACTCACTATCACTACTGTATACAGCAAATGTGTCAGTGTTGCCACAGCATATTAAAACTCATTCAAGTAATACTACATTTTAGGCAGGAAGAACATGTGTTGCAATATAGAGGCTTTGTACTCACAGCTTTTTGTCGGTGTAAATTTGAAACGCCCATTAAGAATGAAATCAGTATTTAGATGGAAATAACGTTTCTCAGTATTGCTATCTGACATACATTTTATGTTGCCATGGCTACTGAGGCTATGAGAAGGAGACCTTGCACTTATTATCCAGAAATGAAATGTTCCTGTCAACATACTGTATACTACTGGCCCAAGCAGGCCATAGAACAGGAAGTGTTAAAATAGGTTTGACGTGAAACCACTGCTGCTCTGGAATAAGAAATTATGACATTTCGTTTGCCAGGTTTCAGGCTTCAGTCTGCATTGCAAAGGTTAGATGTTGATTATGGAAGAAAGCAGAATATCACGTTTTCCAGGAGATAATTAATCTTTTTTGAACTTTGTTTTTCTGCTTAGAAAATGTTTTCATCACTTATTTTCTCATACAGCTTTGGTTTTGACAAAGTTAACCAACTAGTGTGACACTGTCATATAGTCCAAATGGTGTAAATAAGGTCAGCCATGTTATTATTCATGACCAAACAAAGGATAAAAACGTTCTGTTATTATTTGATGTGTATTTCATGTTGTGCGCTAATTCAGTCAAGAGGAATAAAACCAACTAAGTGTAGAAAACAGATTAAAGGTCCCATGTCATGCTTTCTGGCTATTACCCGTCCCCTTGTGTGTTATGTAGCTTTTTCTGCATGTAAACGGTCTGCAGAGTCACAAACCCTCAAAGTACACCCTGTAGCGAGTAAAACTCTAACACAGAAAATACCTGTCTATGCTGCCCCAGAACGCCTCGTTGGAGATTTCTCTCCAACGAGGCGTTCAATCCGCGGACTTCCTCACACACACACACTCAATCTTTTCTCCCCGGATTTCTCAGCCTGAGACGGCGGGACGTGGCGAGGCTGTGAGTCTGTGTGTGAGCACACACCCAAACTCCCAGCCAGGCTGCGGGTGTGTGTGTGTGCTTGGGCTGGTTTCGGGCTGGGTTTCGCTGTGTCTCGCTGTCTCGCAGACGGCCACTGGGCTCACAGGGAGGGGGGGGGGGGGCAGGAGCTCCAACAAGCCGTTTAGGACAGAGAGTGAATACACATACTATACAGAGATGCTGTATGAGAAACCAATGTGAGTTTGGAAAATTGCACAATATAAATCTATTTTAGTATACCTCAACAATGGAATTATGATCAGTAGAAATGGCCATGACATGGGACCTTTAAGAATACAGTGTCCATGCCATACTAATGCATAAATACCAGTTGCCATGCATTAAGTTTCATGTGCTTATTCCACATCATAATTTTTAAAGGCCTATAAGATTTCCTCACAGGTTTGTTGTATCTGCATGGCCGTTCCAGTTCTATTTAATCATATGCAAAAACATTACAGATAAGCATTTGTTTACAGTAAAAATCTTGGATCTCAAACACCCTCCCACAATGCACATTAAATATGTATTTAACGTTTTGTAAAACATAACATAGTGTTAAAATATATGGCTAAAATACAAACTTAAATAAAATGTAAAATAAAGCAACATAAATGTGTGGTAGACATACTTGTGTTAATGGGAAGATATTAAATGTATATGCATATGAAGCATATCATGTTAAAGTTTAAAGTGCACCTATCATGCTATTTTTAGGCAATATGATCTCAGATATATAAAAATATATAAAAAACATGTCTATGAAGTGTTTTGCTCAAAATACCAAACAGATCACCCATTCTAGCCATGCCTCATATCCCTCTATTTCACTTCCTGTTTCAAAAGTGCTGATTTTGGATATAAAGCTTTAAAAAAAAGAAATTGATAAAAAAAAAAGAGGAGGGGGCTGAGCTCATGCGGGAGATTCTACCGGCAGATACTGCGGTGATGAAACGCCATATCATGGATTATCAAGGATTATTTCTGAAACATTATGGAGCTCAAAGGCTTACTCTCATGCCGGTTATACCACAAGGTGAGTTCCTTTTTATTTCCTGCTTCTTCACACACATGCTCTGTGCAGTACAGGTTAGCTCTGAGTGTTAGCGATGCTAATGTAAACACCGACCATATTACGTCCAAAACAGTCGGGCATTGTTTCTGATAGCAACGTTTCTGATAGGGCAGTGGGTGTAAAGCCAGCCTACATTTCCGATATTACGTCATATCGGACGCAAATCTGGATCAGCTCCGTTGTAGCCCCGTTTTTAGAGATTTGGGTACGGAGGAAAAGAGAGAGGGTTTTATTTTCTGATGCTGCGTGAGTTCCCTGACACACCGGGGACACATATTTATGTATAAAAGACATCAAAAAGTGCATTTTGCATGATAGGTCCCCTTTAAATTAAGCATTCAATTAGCACTTGTGTGTTCCTTGATGGGAAGCATCAATTAAGGTTGAAGTTAAACACTATCCAGCTCTTTAATTTAAAAAAGGATAAACTCCATGTCTCCCTAGAAATCCTTCGTGCTTGCCTTTCTGACTACCAGACGGCAGTCAAAGCAGCCAAAACAGAGCACATTTCTCTGTTCATCTCCAAAAACAGCCATAAACCTCAGGTTCTTTTTAATGTCCTCAACTCTATCATTAATCCCTGTGATGTTTCTTCTATTGTCCCATCGACTACTCTCTGTGATAAGTTTCTTAAATTTTTTATTGAAAAAGTATCTGCTCTTAGGCTAGCCCACACTAGTGCTACCCCAGATCCTGCTCCTTTTCTGTGCCCTGCTGTCCTCGACCACTTTGAGCCTGTATCCCTCTCTTCTCTCTCGGATGTAGTCAAGCACCTGCGGCCGACAAACTGCACCTCAGACAGCATTCCCTCTCGCCTTCTCAGAGATGTTTTTGATTCAGTTGGAGCAAGTACTTTATTACTTTTAAACACCTCTCTTAGCTCAGGATGTGTCCCAGCTGCCTTCAAACATGCCGTGGTTAAGCCACTACTTAAAAAGAAAAATCTCGACCCCTCCATTCTCGCAAATTTTAGGCCCATCTCCCAGCTACCTTTTTTATCAAAAGCCCTGGAGCGAGTAGTCTACGCCCAGCTGCAGTCTTTTTTAACCATCCATGGAATCCATGAAAAGTTTCAGTCTGGCTTCAAACCCATGCAGAGCACTGAAACAGCCCTTTTAAGAGTTTTTAATGATCTGCTCCTAGCCGCCGACTCAGGTAGCCCAGCTGTCCTGGTGCTGTTAGACCTGACAGCTGCCTTTGACACTGTGGACCATAGCATCCTGCTGTCACGGCTTGAACAGTCCGCTGGCATCACAGGCTCTGCCCTTGCATGGTTCAGGTCCTACCTGACAGACTGTAGCTTTTCGGTACAGCTAGGTGCTTTCTCCTCTGCCAAAGCCCCTCTTACCTGTGGGGTTCCCCAAGGCTCGAGTCTGGGCCCCATCCTTTTTCTACTGTACATACTGCCCCTAGGTTCAATTCTCACAAAACATAATATTCCCTTCCACTGCTACGCCGACGATGTACAGATCTATCTGCCTCTAAAAGCAAATGTCAAACACTCACTACAGCAGTTGATGGACTGCTTAGCAGAGATAAAATCCTGGCTGAGCAAAAACTTTCTCAACCTCAACGAGAGCAAGACTGAGGTCATCTTTTTTGGACCGCAACCTCCAGCCTCTCCGGTTGATATTCTGGGGTCTCTCATAAAAAACATCCTCCCCTCGGTCATGAACCTTGGAGTGACCTTCACCAGCACTTTTAAATTCGACAAGCAGATCAGCACTGTAGTCAAATCCTGCTTTTTTAAAATAAGACTATTGGCCAAAACCAAGTCGTATTTATCTTTTAATGACTTAGAAAGGTTATTAACGCCTTTGTAACCTCGAGACTGGACTATTGCAACGCTCTGTATGTGGGTATGGACCAGGCCTCAATTAAACACCTGCAGCTAGTCCAAAATGCAGCTGCACGTTTGCTGACTGGCCACAAAAAGCGTGACCACATCACCCCTATTCTGGCCTCACTGCACTGGCTTCCAGTTCGGTTCAGAATTGATTTTAAAATCCTTTTATTTGTTTTTAAAGCACTAAATGGGCTGGCTCCGGCCTATATAGCTGAACTCCTCCAGCGCTACACCCCAGCCAGACCTTTAAGGTCTGCTGACCAGCTGCTGCTGGTAGTGCCCAAGACCAGGCTTAAAACCAGAGGGCACCGAGCCTTCGCAGCAGCTGGCCCTAGGCTCTGGAACACTCTGCCCCTCCATGTGAGGTCGGCCCAGACCCTAGGGGTTTTTAAATCCACTCTAAAAACACACTTCTTCTCTCTGGCTTTCTAGTTAGAGCGGAGCACGACTCCTGACTTTTCCTTGTGTTTTATTTTAATTTTGTTTTTTATATATATCTGTTGTAACTTATTGTCGTTTATTGTGATTGTAGTAATGTGTTTTTATTACATGTACAGCACTTTGGCTCGACCAAAAATCGCTTTTAAATGTGCTATATACATAAAACCTGATTTGATTTGATTTGATTTAATTTCATCCCAATAGTTTATAATAGTATTTATTTCGGATTACTTCCTGTTCTTATTTCCAATACTCAACTCCTATCTAAGCTTCAATGAGGGAATTTCTTATTTACACGTTTTCTTTAATAAATAAATAAATAAAGTAAATATGCAGCTATCGTTTTTTAAATACGCGAGTGAGGCCTCTTATCACAACACAATCTTTGGTCCCTTTCTATTAGATTACGTCTTGCGTCATGACGTCAGAGCTTGGACCACGGTGGGGCGGACGGACGGGACTCGGAGGAGGGGAGCCGCTCGCTAACGTCTGTGTGTCGGCTCCAACAGTTTGCTATCACCCGAGTAAGTGTGAAATATTTTCAAGTTATTTTTTTCCTGCTAGTTTAACCATCAGTTTATGCTTGTGTGTGATGTGTGCTGTGCGATGAAAAGCTGTTATGAGTGTCGATGTAGATGTTTCATCGTACGAGCAGCTCTGTAGAATGACACACTCAACTGTCAAGTCCGTTAACACACTGCTGCTGCTCAAAACTCTACTAGTATTTATTTTAGAGCAATACACAATGCTTTACGTTATTTCACAACATACACGAAGGCTCGTCAATTAAAACTTAAATTACATAGAGCACGTTACTGTTACTGTAACTGTTACTCAACTTATCTTTCGTAACCATCTTTTAACGCTGTATTTCATCTCCTGTGTTGTCATCATAGCATTCAAATGCAGGCGTTTTGCTGCAGTACTTAAATAAAAAATGTTTTAAAATGTAGAATGTAAAACAGGTTTGTGTCATTGCTTATAGAGCAAGAATTAAACAGCAAAAACATAAAGGTAACATCATATGTGTAACATTTTATCTAGCCTGACTCAGTTAAAACTGGTTTATAGCAGGTTCCTATTCTGCAGCAATTAAGAGATTGCATTACCATATCAGATGAAAACGGAATGGAATATACAACAGGCTTGTGTCATTGCTTATAAGGTAATCATTTACAGCAAAAACATAATTCATCATGTGTTTTAAGAGTTTGCTAGTTTCTAATGGACACTGTTGCAAAATCAGAGGATCAGTAGCTATGGAGTATATTTCCAGTTAATCAATTACACTTTGTTTCTATTTAGTTATCTGTCACCAGGTGTCTCTATTCGTTATATTTATGTTATTAATACACATGAAAAGATTAAAAGTAACCTAGCCTGACTCAGTTAAAAGCTGATTTATAGCAGGTTTCTATTCTGCAGCACATACAATACAGAATTGTATTACCATATCAGATGAAAACAGAATCAATCAACAGAACACAAACTGCTACATATTATTTGAAAAGACTTAAAAAGAATGAGCAAAATTGTATATGTATGTTAGCCATGGCCTTTCCACTTTCAACATACACGACACAAGTTTTCATAAACCCTCAGCAATATTTATTTTGATCTCAGCTCGCTAATCAAATGATGGGTTAAAGACAATTGATGGCACAGTAAGGATGGACATCTTCAGCCTCATTACTTCTGAAGCCTAGTATTCTTCACAGAGGATCATTTTTCCCGCAACCTATTATTATCAGTGTCTGGCAGACAGACACACTCTCACACACAGGCATAAAGCAGGCAGGGCGCAGGGAGTACAATGTGCCAAGAAAGCATTTAGAGGATTAGTTTCCATCTCACTTTTGCTTCTTTTGTTGTTGAAGAACCATGGGCCTGATGTAGCCGGTTGTCCTCTCCTCTGCAGTGAAGGAAATCCTCTCCAGCATCGTGAACATGGACTGAAGGTTAGTTTTCTTCCACATACTCTTCACATTCATTCTGATCACTGCGATACCTGTTTACATCTCCAACCATTTGTATTACCTGCTGGTTTTGATGCACTGCGTGTACAGTTTACACAAACGTAGAGGGTTTGAAGTGTCCGGCATGACATGATGTATCCCTATCTGTTCAGCATACTCTGCTAAGTGGCTGAGAGCTTGGCTGCCCCTTCAGGGCTCTGCAAACGCAGCCATTCATGTCTCACTCCGACAGTCAGACCACCATGATGACGCTGCCCTCCTCCTCCTCCTCCTCCTCCTCCTCCTCCTCCTCCTCTCCTGCTGCACTCACGTTGATCCTTCCCTGTTTAGAGCTCAGCTTTGAATTGAGAGTGTAACGTGTTTGTGTATATGGATGGGTGTTTGTGGGCACAATGCTGACAAAATAGAACTCAGTGGCCTTTAAAGATGGAGTTTCCTCTTCCTCTGACTTGTGTTCAGCCTCTTGTAACCCTTCAGCATCTGATGTGGTGAGGATGAGCTAATCCTAGATTAGATCACAAGATTAACACAGCTTGCTGTTTGCTTATCTGGCTGTCACAGGGGCTGATTAATTGGCCGTGTGTATGAGATGGCTTTTCTCACTCTGAAACCTAACCTTAAAGGTAGGGTATGTAAGTTTGAGAAACCGGCTCGAGATCGCTAGAATTTGAAAATACACAACCGGAGAAAATCTGCCACTTCCTTACAGAGCCCCTCCTCCAACACACACGAACGCACACATGACCAATGAGGGCACGAGATAAGTTTGTGCACAGATGGAAGGCTGACAGGCAGGTAGGCCATCCAGTTATTTTAGCCGGGCCGGCTAAAATGATTGGTCGTGCTTTTTACAGTACTACGGCTTCCACAGATGACATTTTTTTATGGATTTTTTGTCAAAGTACTTAAGATATTCATTGCTATCGGGATGTTAAGAGCATTCCATGGAATACAACAAAAAGTGTATCTTGAGCCGGTTTCTCAAACTTACATACCCCACCTTTAACAGTGAATTGGAAATATGACATGAATAAGAGTCAAGATCAATGCCATGTGTTGACCATATTGGTAGAGATTTATGTTGGAATGACAAGAGATACCGTACATGGCTGTACATGTATATCTTTGTGTTACTACTGGTATGGACCACAGAACAAGGGTAATTGGCTGGACCCAATTATACGTGAAATTGGGATGAAAAGCTGCTAATGGAGCATGAATGAGATCAAATCATGTAAAAGTCTGAAATCTGAAACCTTTGTAGACACCATAAAATAACAAACAACCACACCATGACACTAGATATGATCTTTTTTTCTCGTGAAGTTGTGATTTTACTCTAAGGTTGTGTTTTGCAGTTTGAATTTTGTTTTCCTTTTTTCTCCCAAACAAATGATAATGATAAATGTTCAGTAAGAGATTCAAAATGAGTCAGATGCTCACACATTTTTTTTAATCCAATGTCAGCATCCTTCAGGCAGGGATGTTGGTTGTGTTATTGCAACCAAAGGTCAGCAGTGGCTAAAGAGGAAGTCTCTGAGAGAGGAAACACACTTTTTCCTTTTTACCAATGCCATCAAGAAATAGTTACTGTACAAGAACAATGTTTGGCTGTAACTATGAACAAACTGGGTTTATTCTCTCGAGTAGGACAGACTCCCACACTACCCAGAATGAAGGTGAAATTCCTTTATAAAAGCTGTGGTTACCAGTGGCAACGAGCTGCCTGCTTCCCTCCTGTTTGAAGACAGCAGAAATGATGCATGGGTCACACAGCTTCACAAGAGTTTACACTTAAAAGAAGTGAAGTCCATGATTTAGTAAAGGATAGGTTGTCATGGGATAAATCGTGTATTCCTTAAGAAGATATCCGCTTTATTTGTCTAACTTGCTGAACCCCCTTATTAGCCTCAGAAAAACGTTTGAATACATTTGCACACAAAGGCAACTGTAGATTTTGGCCAATATGAACGTATTTAGACATTGCCTTTTTTCTCAAAACTCCATGTGTTTAATCACCCTTTTGTTTCTGTGTGTTTACATCTTCTTATCTTTAATAAGTTGGGTTAAGATAAATGGATATTAAGGTTTGCAGGTCAGGAGGAATACCATCTTTTGAACACAGACTTGACATAGTTGACCCACAGCCATACGTGTTGAGCTCAATATCACAAACATGGTAAGAGCTTAAAGACCAGAGCTTGGATGTGCTGATCCCCACTAACCCCCCCCAACACTGCGCTGTAGAGGTGTCTGGTTACCTGAGCAATGAGAACTGACTGAAGAGTTATTTAAATAGGTGATGATTAGGTGATTTATATCTGACTGCGTAAAGTTGTTCTCACCTGGAGGCACCACACAGAGCTAGCCTTTGGCCTGATAACCTGGCAGGATTCTGTCTTCAGTTGCACAAAGTGTGTGTTGACCCTGACATGGATTGCTGGTGCTATTCCTTATGTCTGTGTGCCTTTAACACAATCTCTGGTATGAGATTTCAGCCGCTGTGTACAGTGTAGGTGGTTTCCAGCCTGTTGACAGGTGATGGTGCCGTGCCAGAGCTGGTGGAATATGAGCTATGTTGGTCAGGTCAGCCTGGCCACTGGTGAACACCTAGCAGGTTAGTGAAGGCCACTTTGCAGGCTTAAAATGTACAATACATTATACAAATGTATCCTTTTGTCTGTTGAAACGCCCTTTGTAAACATCTGCCTTACCAACATACAGCAAGAGAATGAGATCCTCAATACCAACATCTCCATCAGCTCGGACACAGGTATGTGCTGAGTGTTGTTGTGGTGAACATGGACCAGTGTCAGTTCCAAACACAGGGTGAATTATTCATTAGGACACATGCTGTGGTGTTGAGCACAGATGCCGAGGTGTTCCTTAAACAAGCCTTCACCTGTTAACATATAGCCACGCACAACATAATGTTCAACATGCAGCCAGGCTTCAATTATTTAGATTATTTTCACTGTACCCCTCTGTTAATCCTATACCTCAGAGATATGTGTGATACTTAAAACTCTTACAATCAAAATAGATCACCTTAACGGTGCCTCTGTGGAGCTGAAATTAAAATAAGCAGAACGTTTCTGTGCAGCTTCCCACCTCACAGACTGCTGCTACTCTTTGGTGTCAGTTTGATGTGTAAGGACCTTTATTAGATGACTCAGACTTGCGCCACTCCCAATATACCACCTGTTGTTCCCTTTGTGTTAAGTATATCCCTGTATGTCTTTTTTAAAATATTTTTTCAACAACTTATATACGTTTTTGCCGCAATATGAGGGAATATGTTAACAAAAGTTGTAGTTACACATGGCAGTGGGACCTGTTGACTAAGATATAAATGAAATCTGATATATTAGGTAACGTCCACATCCACACTCTTTTGCGTAATTTAAGATAGCAATTATATATGTTAAATTAAAAATATATTTTGAAAAGTTTATTCAATTTGACGTCAACAGAGTGACCAAATCAGTAGAATCAGGAAAACACAAGTTGTGTCGCTGTGCCTTTTTGAATGTTTGCATTTGTAGACGTAAATGATTGTGTGTCTTCTGGTTTGTCTTGTTCCTGGAAAGCTGAGCACAACTCTGGCAGCGGGGCCTCCCTGTGGGTTTCATCTTGCACAATAGGGCGTTGTGCCTACTTCTTTCAGGGAACTACCTGCCATTCACCTCCTCATTCTGACACACTCTGAGCTCAGTGCCCAAGCTGAACCCGACACTGCCAGGCGAAACACGCCGTGGACGGGATGCCTTTGATCCAGTTTTGCCTCTTTCGTACCCTCTGTAACCCTCTCTCTCTCTCCTCTCTCTCTCTCTCTCCTCTCTTACTCTCTCTGCCTGCCCGATACAAAGAGTTGTTTCTCTTATCACACTCTTAGCAGTATGCTGAAGTCATCTCCTGCATTGTCAGAACTGTCACAAGCGTGCTTCTCTCTGCCCCCCCCTCACACATTCACACACACACACCCACATAGGGTAAATACAATAACGATTGTTCCTGTTTCCTGCCTATGCTGTCATTATGCAGCTGCTGAATGAGATATGGTCCAGTTTCCATCGGTTAAAGACAACACACACATACGTACAGTATGTACACATAATGTACACATATGCACATTTCCACACAGTATAATTCCGGCTATTTCTCTCTTTCTTTGCTCTCTTTGTCCGGTAAATACACACACACATTTTCGTGCATGCGCTCACACACAAACATCGCTGCCAGAACTCTCTGGCCTAATTCCTCTCTTATTGATGTGTGTCTGTCAGTGAAAGAGGCGCAGCACAAAGAGCAGCGATGGGCCTGTGTGTGGCTCAGAGGGAACAAAGAGTGGTCTATTCCACGCCAGCTCCCAGACTCCTCTGGAAACACTGCATGGGCTTGTTTAAGCTATGGCCATATTTTGAGTTTACCGACTGTATGTTCAGCAATGAACAACAACATGGCTGCCAAAGTGTCAAAGAGCACAGGCCAGATTGAGCCCCCACTTGTGTTAGTCATGCTCAGCTTGCAACTTTATTTGTCATGTGTACCATAGCTACATCGTAGTTTTGGCAATTCAGTTTAGGCTTCTCAAACATAGAATAAAAATAAATAGAGTAATGGAAATAAAATACTGCAATGGACATAATGGTGTAAGTAAGTTGTAGTAGTAAGAAAATATATAAATATCAGATGAAACAGATGAAACATTTGAGTTGCAGATCGAGTTAATTCTGTATACTGTAATAATATATACAAAATATATAAAGAGTAGAATTAAATAGTCATGAGAAGATGGTGATCAGGTATTTAGTTGTGGAGTACTGTAACTATGGCAACATTTGCATAACAAGACTATAATACTTTACACTGAACTGATAAATAATGTATCTCACTTTACGCTAGATTGCACATTACCTGGTCTATCACATAGCTATTAGGAGCTGTCACTCACCATTGGAACTCTGGGGGCTTATTCTCCATTTAAATAATCACCTTTGATTGTTTTCTTAGTTTAATACTGATAATGGATGGGATTTTAGATCACCTCAGTGCTACATCTTTATCAAATTAACCTTCGTGCCTGAATGAAATTCAAGTAAACATTTACAGGGAGCTGTGATATTTATTTATTGTTTAACAAATAAATCAGGAAGTTAAAGATACAAGATGATTGTTAAGTATTTATAACTAAACTAGATCTCTGATGTTCTATATTATAATGATTCTTACATGCTTTTCATGGTCTGAAAAATGCCAATGTGAAGTGCTTGGTTCCCAGTCTGCCAGTGCCAGATCTCTGCTGAGCTTTCACCATCTCTCTGGTTCAGCCGGCCAAAGACAATGACAGCAGGACGACTGGCAACTCTGCTGAATGGAATGAGCTACAGAGCTAAGGACAAGGACGTATGTGTTTGTGTGTGTATTTATACAAGGACATGAGTGAGGCTGACACGGTTCCAGAGAGGCCATTGTCCATGTGGTTGTTTGTAATTCACCTTTGACAGTATTGTGACATTTCTGAGAAACATGCTGACTCACTGAGGCCGCTGATCCCGGTTGTCACTGACACCTGTTAGTCGCTGATAATCGCTCTGTTTCTGTGGTGGACAGGGCTTTAATACAGAAAAATCCATCTATCACTAGGATGTTTCTGAGGTTGATCCAAGGGGGAATGAAGGCAGAATTTTCCTTAAAGGATCAACAAAGTATTGCATTTTTGTTTAAATTGTCTAAAGAAGACACGGTTAAACATTTCACTGTTTGGGGTAAAAAAAGTGATAGTGAACTTTCGTTTATCGGTGCACAGAATAGATTAAATTAAGTAATTTGTGCAGAACAGGTCGATCCATCTGGTGTTCCTTTGCATCATCACCTTAAGGTGGAACAGTGAGCCTTGCTTAAATCAAACAAAGATGCAGGACCTCTCACACAAGCATACACACCAAGCTGACAGTAAATCATTGTCCTCTAAGGCTCCTGAAAGAGGATTTAGTTTGAATATAAAACCGTAGGCAATCAAGAAAACATCCAATCCAGCGCTTGGATCATCCTGGGGATGAAGGAGGGGATTTATAGACACAGAGGGAGGGATGGGCACCGGGGTCGGGATAGGGCTTCAGCTTCAGGACAGGATTAACTAAGGTTTACCCCTCCACTCACCAAACTGAAACAACAGCTCAGTACTCCTCTTCCTAATCACTTACACTTCACTGACACTGCCAGAAAATGCCACTCATTGTGAGGGTGCCTGCATGCATGCATAATCAAGTATGCATGTATTCTTGATCATGAGGCATGACTGTCTTCCTACGATTGTCATACAGGAAGTTCATATCGCAGTAATCATGACACGCCGTTTCATGCAAACGAGTATTTGAATTATTATGTATAAAGGAAGGAAGGAAGGAAGGAAGGAAGGAAGGAAGGAAGGAAGGAAGGAAGGAGGAAGGAAGGAAGGAAGGAAGGAAGGAAGGAAGGAAGGAAGGAAGGAAGAAGGAAGGAAGGAAGGAAGGAAGGAAGGATAGATAAATTGAATTACAGAAAAGAGATGGATGCTTAGTCATGTGAAATAATGTATGATTTGCATTGAACTCCATTGGTAATACGAAACTATTTATACATTCAGCATTTTCTTATTTTTGGATACTTCAAGAACAATTCCATTATATAACAATTTACTAGACATATATTGAATTGAGTCTTTGCAAACTATAACTCTAGTGTGTTCTGATACCTTACTGTCATTATTTAATTATGATGAATTGTATTTCTAATGTAAATAAGACTATAAATACATGGATTCTTTACTCAGCTGTAATCAGGAAAAAATATCAAGTTGAACCTCTGTTATTTTTAATCTGAACACTTGACAGTGCAACATCTCAATATCTATAGACAGTCGCCAGCTAACAGGTGACTGAAGCTGTTCAACACCTGTTCTCTCTCTCTCTCTCTCTCTCTCTCTCTCTCTCTCTCTCTCTCTCCTCTCTCTCTCTGTGGCGGTCACATTTAACTTTCACAATATTAACACACAGCCTTTGATTAAGCACATAAGTTAGTATCTTCTGTTGAACATAAAACACTCAGACTTAAGACTGGCTTGCTGGGAAAGTTAAAGCTGCTGTGTGAATGTGTTTATGAGCATGAATACGCCCTTTTTTGGCAGTGATAGCGTGGCCATTGTGTAAAGACATATGCTACCTGCAAGTAGCTCCATGCTCATTCTTTTGTCTCTGGACGTCGGTTAAAACTGAACAGTTGATTGTATTCTTAGCGAATGAGAAGGAAGCCTGTCACTGGGTTGTTTGCATAGATGTGTGCAAGTGAGTGTGTGTCCCTGTCCATCCAACTTTATGTTATTCTTCATGACCTGACAGTGCAGCTGGAGGAATATACTTTGAGTGTGTAGCTGTCCCTCCCCAGGGCTCCCAATGTTCCTGCCTTGCTTGTTTTGCTGCTCTCAATGGGAGCAGCTATTGATGCTGCAGGGATGCTGGGGCTTCCTGCCTGCCTGTCTGTCTGTAGGTCTCTCTCTGAGGAGATCACTGCTCCACTAATAAGGTTCCTTCTTGAGGAAGACAGCTTGTATGTTGTCAGGTGTCCACTCTGGTTTTGTCACTTCGATTCAGCCAGGCAGCGTGCAAGGCTGCCGGAGGTGAACACGCACTTTGTGACTGTAGCGGCTCCCACACTGTGGAATGATCTGCCCATGCATATCAGACAGGCCTTAACACTGTCTGCTTTTAAATCGCTTCTAAAAACCCACCTCTTCTCCTTAGCGTATTGACATCTTTTAGATTGTTGCTTTTATTGCTTTTAAATTGTCTATTGTTTTTACTTGTACCTGTGTTATGGTGTGTGAGCTGTGCTGTGTGATTGTTTTGTATGTTTTTGAAACGTTTGTCTCTTGATACCTTCACATGATAATAACGGCGTCCCTTTGGGGATTCTCAATTAGCCCTTAAAGGAACACACACACAAACCGTGCCACTCAATATCACACATCTTCTGTTCCGTGTGCCCAGCAAGTGAAAATGATGATTGATTGCAACAGAATGAAATGTCAGTGAATACATTGAAGATTTAAGTTTGAACTCTAAACAGAATCTGCTTCTTTCTTTGGTCTCCATCTCTCCACCTTCTTCTCAGGTAATCCACAAGAGTGAGTCACACTAGGCTGAGAGTCAGGCTGATGGTAGGTGGGTTTTTCTTCTTCTGATGTGAGTCATTACCTCTTTCCTTCTCTACATCCTTTCCTTTCTTCTACCAGCTACTTGTGTCTTCATCCCTCTCATGGTTGTTGTTTATTTTCCAAGCTTGTTTGGACCTGTCTCCTCTTATATTAGTTATTTCTTTGTTTTGTGATCATTGTATCATGCTAGCAAAACTGTAACCAGCTTGTTATCCTTAATCATTTTGTATCTGTTCATGAAACATTGGCCTGATGGGATTTCAAATGATTCAGAGGCCTGGCACAGCTGTCAATGAGGCTGCTTGCCTAATAGCATTTTCAACTGATGATATCGCATCAGACTCGATTCTTTTTAAATTACAATCACATATTGTTTTGGTACTTAATGCTGTCCGGTCCGCAGACAGATTACTATGCAAATGGTCACGAGTTAAAAATAAATTACTGATTTCATGTCATTAGATCTAGGCCTTATTCCAGCCTCTCATAATCCGTCTCCTCTCTCTCTGTGCTAGACCATCATGGCCACTTGTTCCTGAATCAAAGATGCATGCTCCCTCTTTGGACTCATCCCTCTGACCGACACTGAGCCGATGCAACCCTCCATCAGACAGTCCCATCTCCACTTCCACTGTACTCTACTGTTTGTAGTCGTCTCTCCATCAGTCATTGTCCCGGTCTGACCCTCTGCATGTCTTAGAGAGAGAGAGGGGGGGAAGTGTTAGCTGACTGTTTGATAGGACAATTGCTCCCTGCTATTCATGAGAGTTCAGCAGGGCCACATGCAGCAGGGGGATGACAGTCAAAGGGAGCCAGAGGGGGTGGGCCCCAGTTCTGGTCCTGAGAATGCAGGAGGGTCACAAAGCCCCGGGTTGAAGAGGGCCTCATCCCAGTCAGAGCCCCCCTCTCTCAGTAAGATGAGCCAAAACGCCAGGGAGAGCATTGGGGTTCTTGGCCAGGGACTGAAACAGCTGTTCCAGCAGCAGCGTAAACGCCTGTCCCTCTCTCGCTCCGCCATCCCATCTTCGTCTTCTTCCTCATCTTCTTCTGTAGTGTCAGCAGGTGGCTCCTCCCCCTCTGCTCACGAGGATGCCTTGGGGTCCTGCTATCCAGAATCTGACCACCTCTCTGCTCCTGTGATTCCCTCCGCAGCTGGCCAGGGCTCAGGCGCTGCGGCCATGATGAGGCGTGGGACCAGCCTGCAGAGCCGCCGCAGTAAAGGGTCCGGGTCGGGATCTGGGAGCGGAGACCGAGACCCTCTGCTGAGAGGTAGCCCCCAGGCCCGGCACCGCCGCTACACCCACGATCCACAGCATCACATCAGCCGTCCACGCTCCTCTTCCACTACTGACACCACCCCCAGCAGCCCCACACCGGGATACACTGGAGGGGACGTGGTGCTGTCATCAGGGTACCACTCCACGGAGGAGACGGACAGGGTGAGTGACGGCAGGCTGATCGATGTGTCTCTTCTACCCTTTGACTAGTGTCAGGCCTTGTTTGTCAGTGAACTGTCAATCAAAAGCTGAGGTTCACCTTGTTGTCGATGTGACTTTCAATGCTGCTGTATTAGCTTTGAATGCAGAAAGAAAGTCTGCTGTTGTCTGTCTGAACTGCAGACACTGTCAGATATGCATGGTACAGCTTGCTAACAGTTAAGACACATAAGACACTTTCATGCACACATAGATTTGCAATAATCACAACACTACAGACAATTTTAAAGACAATTTCATTACTTTCTTAAAACATTTGTCAGGCTCACTGAAACACTGCCTGGGGTAAACAGGAGTGATGTTTAAATGTTTGCATACGTGCACCTGTTTATGATTTTAAGTCATACTTGTTTGAAATACATGAGATTGCAATAAAACTAGTTCTCGAAAATCTCAGCCTTTTTTTAGGAACATACTGTGTAGTGTGTCGAGTCCAGAGAACATTTATGAAGTTACATGTTCTACAACTTCTGTGTTGGAATATAATCGGCATGGATTTGTTGTGTGTATTGGTTTGTTAAAACCTCACATCTCTTTACAATCTTATCTTTAACCTCACATTCAGATTTGTAACTACCTAACCACCTGACTTGTGTTTGTTGTGTCTGCCACCAGAGGTCACTGTGAGATCAGCTAACCAGCTGTGAGCTGCACTGGGCTTGGTTCATGTGGAGGTTGTGTTGTCATGAGATCATGATTGTTGCAGGCTAGACTGATCTTTGTGTAAAGGAAATAAGATGTGCCAAGGCAAGGACTCTGTATCAATGTGTCACAGACGAAGGGATGGTTGTCTATGAATTTCTCTATGAATTAATCTGTGTGCTAAATTGAAATGACTTCCTTTTCCACAAAATTAAGTATGAATAAAGTATGCTTTAGTCCTATGTGAGTGACCCCACCTGGGATGGGGCGGGGCTGAGAGCCAGAAGTCTGTGCTCCTTCAGTCCTGTTGCTATAGACGACCATCAGATAACATGTCTCACACATCTCTGTCTATCATCACAGCCCCCCTCCACATAGCAACACAGCAATGTCATTCAGGTCATGCAATCATTCGCTGTGGTTACCCCCAAACTTACAGCCTCGAAATACGCCCTGCTTTGGTTGCCATAGTAACAGCGTGGTTGACCTTGGAGGTGTGTGGAGGTCCTGGGGATGCATAGCTCGTCTAAATATGAGTGTGTACGAGCAGGAATGGGTCTTTTTGTCTTTCCCTTTTTGTTTTTTCTTTCAAAAAGCAACTCCCCCCCCCTCTGTGCTCCCCTAGACTTTCCTTCCTCTTTCCTTCTCTTTCTCTTCCCTGTACCCCTCCCTATGTCCCTGGAGATAGTTAGTATAGACAATCAGCTGGTCCCTCCTCCTCTCCCATCTCCCCCTCCTCCTCCTCTTGCTCTTCTACCACCACCTCTTCCTCACCCCACCCTTTCGGCTTACTGACAGGAAGCAGGAGGCAACCTTGCCCCGACCTAGATGAGTGAGAGCTGAGCACTGGCTGTGTGTGTGATGCATGTTGTATGAAGAGGGGGTGTGTGTGTGTGACTTGAAGAACTCACTTGTGTGTGTGTGTGTATGTGTGTACTCTAAATCATTTGTGCATTGTAAGCCATGTGGTGTGAGCGTCTTGTCTGAGTGAGTGTGTCTGTGAGAGACAGAGCTCAGGGGATCACTGTGAACACGAGTACAAGGCAACACAGCTGAGCTTTCTTTATCTCTCTCTCTGCTTGCTCTCCCTCCCTTTTTTCATCTCCGTCTCCCTCTTTTCTCTCTCTCTCTCTCTCTCTCCTCACTTGTGTTTGCATAGTAGACGAAAGCGGTGTGGACTAGAAGAGTGTGTGCTCATGGATGTTTGAAGAGGAGGGTAGCCTTCAGTATGTGTGTGTGTTTAAATGCAGACTGTACTACTGTATGTGAGGTTGTGTGTACTTTGTGGGGATATCAGTGCAGGACAGGAGAACAGGGGCTCCAGCTGTGAGTGCGTCAGTCAGTAAGGATGGTGCAGCGCTTCAGCCTTCGTAGACAGGACTCAAAGGTAAGCTTATAAACACAAAAGCTTGTTTAGTTGTTAAAAGCCTGTCTGTGTCGTCCCATCTTTATGATGCAGCTCCATTCATGGCGAAAGGCTCAGTCACTGGCAAAGCCCCGTGTGGTGGTTAGCATATCTTTTCCCATCTCTCGTTCTTGCTGTCCTCCAGCTAATTGGTACTGTGGCAATAGTTTGTGTTTCTGTGCTTGAGACGTGCTTGTTAAGGACAGCAGTCAAAGTGTTAAAGACTGATTGATTTGTCAGTTTTCAGAAACGATGTACTCTAATATATCTGCCAGAAGAAAACTGGGAAGAAATCATTGTTTGGTCTGTAACTTTTTGTGAGCTTCATTCACTTGATGATAGTTTGATCCCTACAGTAACTGAGTGGTCTGTCTTTGGACTTTATCTCAACTCTTGTTAAACAGTAACTTCAGCTACAGCAGTAAAAGCGGCAGGCTAGAGCTTGACTAGAGCCGTCGCCAAGGGGTGTAATGATTTGTAAATATTATGTTTGATTATTGCTGATTGGAGAGCATTTTGACTCCTTTGCAATAACAGGCTAGTTTATTGTGCTCTACAACTGTCCATGAGTTTGATGTGTCCCTCGGTGGTAGTGCTGTTAAAGAGAGTAGAGGGGCTGTATTGAGAACTCAGCATAATATCTGTTTACAGCCCGCTGTATTGCAGCTGGTGCTCAGTCTGTGGAATTAATTACAATTAGCTGCTAATTAATCGATTGACTGACTACACTCACTGTTCCTCTTCAGCTCTGTTTAGTGCTGCTGGTGAATGTTCAAATGCCTGGAAGCATCATCATGAACATGAGCAGAGGCACAGTCTCACTTTTAGAGTAGAAGGTCTGCTCCCAGACTGATGGACATCGATCTAGTCTTCCCTCTTTTCTCAGAGGAGTGGAAAGATAAAACAAGACTAAAAACAGAAGGAGAAACTGAAGGGCTGCAAGGTGCAAAATGTTTATTGTAAGAGAGGAAGACAGGCAGGAAATAATCTGGAAGTACGCTCTCGTGGGATATGAGCTCCTCCTGGGTTGACATGAAACAGAAGCCAAGCCTCGAGGCGAGTCCTCTTACACCATAGAAGATGTGCGTGTGAGAGAGACTGAAGCTGTGAGTGTCTTTGGAGAACATATCTCCTGCAGGCTCTGTCTGCAAAGGTTCACTGACCTTGGATAGATGACCCAGTGTATTTACCCCCAGGCAGCATGTCCACCTGTCTTCCTGCTCATCTTTTGTCTTCCTTTGTCTCTCAGCATATTTGAGTTTTCATGTCAGAGAAAGCATCCCGCGATCTGCTGCATTATTTCCCAAAACATCTCAGAACAAATTGCCTCAAAAACAATGCAGACCAGTAGAGCTGGAATGGTGCTGTGTGTAGACCTAATATGAAAACACTCTCAGCAGTGTGGTTTGTATTGAATGCCTGCATTTTTAAAAGGTATATATTATTTATTTTGAGCTAGGTATCTTATGCAGTGTAGTTCATATTCACATGTCACATTTACCTCATCCTGCCACATTCTCCTAATAGATCAAAATAAGTCTGAGAAGAATAAATCTTTATTAGTTAGTACGTAATTTGTTTAGAAAAAGATAGTAAAACCCCTGGAATAGGGTCTTGTGTCCTCAAGTGCCCTTAGTTAATTTATTGTGTTATTTCTGTAAAGTACCTCAGTTTAATCAAATTTAGAATGGGTCTTGTGCTTTTCATTATGCTTGACCTTAGAGAAGGAAAGAGTTCAATCATGCTAACGCTAAAAAAACTGGTTAGATTTATTAAATATCAGTAACATATGAGCTCACATTATTTAAAAGAACCAAGAGAAGTGTTGTAATACATCTTAAGGTAACAGAGTAGAGTATTTAGCAGTTTCACTTCACTTTTCCGTCTGTTTTTGGGAGGAGGAGACCTATGCGGAAACTGCTTTCTTCAGTTTGTCCCGTAATCCATTTGTTTAGAGTGTTTGAGCCATCTGTGGATAATACAGCTCTGGATAAAACACTTCTGAAGAATGAACACTGAAGGCATCTTAACTGAGAGAAACTGTCTGCAATTGCAGCAAAGGTGGTGGAGGAGGTTGGAGGCGTGTGGTGCAGTGGGTTGTGAGTTGGTTTTCGGATCAGGGGGTCACAGGTTCAAACCCCACTGCAGTCAGCATGTCGTTGTGTCCCTGGGCAAGACACTTCACCCCAAATTGCTCCTGTGGGGATTGTCCACAGTATTGAGTACATTGACATGTAATGTAATGTGAAGACAAAAACTCCCATCAAACGTGATCGTCCTCTATTTCACGTCATCACCAAACTCTATTTTGATTGAAGGAGTGGCAGAAATCTACATATTAAGTGTTGAATAAAACACCATTTCTGTTCAAACTCCTTCTGTTTCGATACCCTTTTTAAAAGCCATGTTTTGTTTGAGGGATTTGTTGGTTCCCAGGAAGAATAGTCGTTTCTGCCCTAATTATCTATGGGGTATATCAATTTTTTAAAAGTCGTGTACTGTCAGTATTTAAATCATACAATTATAATGTACTTAAAGGCTGCTATTAATAGGATTTCTTACATGCAGAAATTATTCCTCTAAATTTGGAAATGCAGATTCACTTAGGAAAGAAGTGTTCCTTTTTCTTGTAGTCCACCTTTGCTGTGCTGGAGAGAGCAGTAAGGAGCAGTGGGTGGTAAAAAATATCACCTGGTCCCCTGAGGCTTGTTCTGTCCCTTTAGTTTTAACATCCTCATCATTGCTCTCTCATCATCATCTCTCACCTCCCCAGGCTACTGGCTCTGTGTTGATGAAAGCTTGTGTGCCATTTTGCTGCTCATCTTGAAATGATGCTTGTGTCATTTGAACAGCTGTAAAAGACGAACAAGGTATTGATAGGTCACATTAAATGATG